AAATGCATATTGAGAGATAAACACATCTGTATGGTAAGTATAGTTAATAATTTTTATACTAGACAATTAAGGGATTTAGCATAACAAACAAACCATGGACTATATGTGTTAGTATCAGAAAAGGTAAAAAATCAAATTCAAAAATGGCTCTTTTAGGGTCAGGAGTCCACTTTTATTTTTCCTTTCTTTTATAACATATAGGGCCAGTTATCTGTACCAAACTTTGATTCGTAGTAGAACATTGTCATTGTTTCCCTCTTTGTTTCTCTGTGTTCTTCCTTGCCAAGATTTTAAGGTTTTTGAGAGCAGAGTTATAGTAGATTTGTATTCCTCACATCTGCAGACTACAATGTTAACTATTTGACTGATGATCAGTACAAACTTGCTAAAATGAGTAAGTGGATTTGTGTGTGTGTGTGTGTGTGTGTGTGTGTGTGTGTGTGTGTGTGTGTGTGAGAGAAAAAGACATTTGAGAGATAATAATTAGTCAGTATTGGTGATTTCAGTGTTAAGGGTGAGATTTATTCCGCATGGTGGGTTAGAATAGCTTCTGGTCTACACCAAGTAGAATATCATTCTGAATTAAAAAGAGAAACATGTTATTTGATTTTGAATGGAAAGGAACATAATAGATCTAAGCATTTGAGAGGCTGGATTTTTGAATTTTGAATGATATTACAACTTGGTTTTCAGGTAATTAAGTTTGTGCAGATGTCATAGATTTGAAATCTATAGATTCTAAATTGGCTGTATATATAGGGTATGTTTTCTTCTTGTATTGGTCTAGTAATTCTTATGTGTTGAAGTACATCAAACTCTCAAATTAGCAGATGGACTTAATAATAAATGGACAATACAGTGGGGTTGGGTAGAGGAGAAAGATGAATAGGATGTGCACATAGTTCTTTCTCCTTTTCCTCTTTATCCTTTGTTCCTCATCTTTTTTTGATGTAGAATTAAAAGCAAAAGTTATCAGGCTGAACAGTTTTGAACTGGGGAATACAGGTTTGCAGTAATTTTAGGGAATCCTATTATATTTACTAAAACCTTAACAGTATGTTAGGACCCTAGGCATATTTGTTAAAGTTGACTGTGTGTGGTGCTTTTTTTTTTTCCTCTCTTAGATACCTCTCTTTCTGAGATTCCCTCCATTCCTAGGCTCCTCTATTTTTCCAATTCTCATTAATTTATTACCAATTTTTTAAAAAGTTTTTTCTATGCCAGAATATACACCAGATCCTGAGATAAGATTGTAAACAAGATAGAACCCCTGTGCTCTTGGAGCATATAATCTTACGAAAGATAAAAACAAATACAAATCAAATGACACTATGGAGTAAATAGAGGGGGTAGTGGGAGTCTACAAGGGCTCACTTATCCCTGTATGGATATTCAGGAAAAGCTTAAAAGAGGAAGTGCTGAGTTTCTTGAAACTTTACATTTGTCTCTCATCTTCTGAGGTTACCTATCACAAGAAGCCCTATACTCTGTTCAGTTTTTTTTCTCCCTTCCTGTCTCATTTAAAACTAATTTGCTTGTACGAAAGTGTGGTGGTTGTGGGGAGAGGAGCGGGCATTGGGTGGAGGTAGAAGGAGTATGGGGGATAAATGGTAATAGATACAAATGCAATAAAAAACAAAACAAAAAAAACTAATTTGCTTGTCTATTAACAAAACAAAATTTAGACTAAAACATAAATGTGGATTGATCCTTTTAAAGGAGAATTTGCAAAAACGATAGGAGTTTATTAAAACAAAAGTGTTTTTCATTGATTTTTAATTGATAGCGTTGATAGATAAGTAATATAAATTTGATTAGGAAATTCCAAGGCAACATATCCTCAATCATAATAAAATGATACTTAACATTTATGAGCCCTTAATATGTGTCAGGCATTAAATTAATTACTTTATATTCCCTATATTACAGTAAAATATACAAACATGCAAACTTTTAACTTTCACTAACAAAGACGCAACATTAAGCAAAGGAAGAAAGTTGAATTTGGATGGATTATCCTTTATTTACCCTCATTACAATTTACTGTTTTGTGGGAGTGGTGAATTCAGATGCTATTTAGTATTGAGTAGTCTCTTGAGTTGAGGGATAACACTTTCCTAAAGTCAAAAATCAACTTTCTTGGGATATAATTTACATGAAATAGGATTAATCCATTTTAGGTGTGCAGTTCACTGAGTTTTGAGAAATGAATATACTCATGTCTCCTTTACCTTAATTAAGATATAGGACATTTCCATCATCCCCAGAAGTTCCTTAATGTTCCTTTGCAATCATTCTCACCATCCTGCTCCTAGGCAGTCACTAATCTGATTTGTCACCATAGTTTAGTTCTGTCTGTTTTACATCTCATTCATATAGTGTTTACTGCCTTTTGTATCTCCTATTTTGCTTAACATAAATGTTGTGATTCATACATGAGTGTTGCATATGTGAGTAGCTCTTGTTTTATTTTCTAGTTTTGAGCTTTTATGAACAAAAAACGGCTGTCAACATTGCCTACCAGTATTTATGTGGACATGAGTTTTCATTTCTCTTGTGAGTGAAATAGTTGGGTTACATTTAAGTGTGTGCTTATTTTTCTAAGAAGTTTCTGAACTCTTTTTCATAGTGTGTCATTTTACACTCCCATCAGTAGGTATGAGCATTCCAGTTGCTCCAAATCCATGCCAACATTTGGTATTTTAAGTTGTTTTTTTTTTTTAAAGCAATTTCTATTTATGTGTAATGGTCTCCTCAGGGTTATTTTAATTTATATCTTTCTGATGACTACAGACATTGAGGGTCTTTGCATGTGCTTATTGACCATTGGTGTATCTTCCTTTGTGATGTGTTTTTTCAAATCTTTTGTCCCTTTTAAAACATCTTCTATTTTTGAATTGTAAAATTGTTTTTTCTTTTTAATTTGGACTTGAGTTCTTTATCAGGTACTTTTTTGTGAATATTTTCTCCTAGTCTGTGGCTTGTCTTTTCATTTTCTTACTGTCTTTTAGAAGAGCAAGAGTTCTAAATTTTGAGTTCAATTTACCTTTTTTTTTTTCTTTTACAGTTGATGCATTTTGGCATCTTAGACAATCTGACTACCTTAAGGTCTTGAAGATTTTCTTCTATGTTTTCTCATGAAAAAGTTTATGTTTAGGTGCATGATCTGATTTAAGTTAATTTTTGTAAATTTAAGATTCATATTGTTCATGCTAGGATTCAGTTACTTCAGACATTTCTATGTAGTAGGCACACATATTCATGATATTTCATTAACAGCAAGAACCATATATGAGATCTGTTTGGAAAATGTACAGCTGTTGTTAATAATAAGGAGAACAGTTCATCTGTATAACCTGGCAGCCAAGGAGAGTGGACTGGAATGTGCATGTGTGAACAATGATGACTTCACTGTACTAGTCGGTGGGGGTGATATATGCCGTTGAATGAGTTTGGGTCCTGTGTGGCCATTGCATTCAAAATGACTGAGTGAGTAAAGCAATGAATCTGCATCAAATTTTTCGTTAAGCTTGAATATTCTTCTGCGGAAACTATTCAGATGATTCAGAAGGCCGAAGCTATGGGCAACTGATGAATGACGACTTCTTCACGACATTGTGCCTGCTCATGCATCATGTCTCGTGCATTTTTGTGTGTGTGTGTGTGTGAAATATCAAATCATCTAGGTGACTCAGCTCCCCTACATACCAGATTTGGCACCCTGCGACTTCTGGTTTTTCCCAAAACTAAAATCACCTTTGAATGGCTAGAGATTTCAGAATGTTGATGAAATTCAGGAAAATACAACAGGGCAGCTGATGGTGATTGGGAGAACTGTGTGAGGTCCCAGGGTGGCTACCTTGAAGGGGACTGAGGCATCACTGTCCTATATACAATGTTCCTTGTATCTTCTTCAATTAATGTCTGTATTTTTTTTCATACTACATGGCTGGATACCTTCTGGACATATCTCATATGTCTAAATCTATATGAAAATATGCAATCTTTAACATATCCTTTGTTTTGTACATCAGACTTATGTAAAAAACTATGGTTCTGTATAAACTTTTTTATTTTGAATGTTATTTTCTACTCTTCATTATACTTGTGTTATTTTACATGTATATTGATTTTTGATGAAATGATTAGATTCTGTAAAACTGAAAGTGTGTATTAAATCTTTGGTTAACAGAGTTCAGGATTATCATATCTGATCCATAGTGAAACAGCCGGGCACACTAATCAGGGTTCTTCTGTTCTGTGACATACCTGTTCTTTTTATTGGGTCCTCTCTCTCACCTTGCTTTGACAATTTTGATTTGATTTTTTAACTGGAAGGAAAATGAATTCTCCTGTAGGAATCAGGTCAATATATTACAGAGATAAAAGAACTGTTTAAGTTTACAGATTTTTTTAATCTTTTCTGCTTTTTTCTCCCTTTTTACTTTGAGCCAAGGTCTTTTTTTTTCCCTTGAATTTTTTCCTTTTTCTTTCTTTTAGAAGAGCTGCAGGTCCTCTGCAAGCATCTCCTTTCTAAGTATGTTTTCTTGAGAGTGAAATTGGATTTCTCTAGAGTTTACTGCTTACAGTCTAATGTTTCAGAATGTTTTTATTTTGGGTGGGGGGTGTTAAACACCAGTAAGAGCATAAAAACACAGGATAGTATGATAGTAATTTTATATTACACATAAGAGCACAGGCGTGAATGACTTTTCTTCTATCTCCTCTCTAATACTTCATCTTTTCCAGTTTGCCATACCTGTTTTTAACCTTGGAGCAATTATACTCTCCCTCTCCAGTGAGAAGCCAATATATATGACTTTATGATGTTCTAGTGTTTGTTTTGTTCATGGGGTTAGTTCTCTTATTTTATATCTGGGTTTCAAGTGCTACCTTGTATTTCTCCAGAAAGAATACATTTCATTACTAATATGTAAATATTGTCTTTTTTCTCTTTATTTTTCTCTTCCTTCTCTTTTTACCCTGTGGTTCTTGAGCAGGTCTTGTTCAGCGTTGTGTGATCATCCAGAAGGATGACAATGGATTTGGGCTGACGGTCAGTGGAGACAATCCAGTCTTCGTACAGTCTGTCAAAGAAGGCAAGACATTTTTCAAATTGTCTTGTCACTTGAAAGCAAACAGAGTAAGAATAGAAAAACTTACAGAGTCTATTGCCCAAAATAAGATAATGACATACATTGCAGGTTACGTGGTCTGTTTTGCTAGATTTGTGTTATGACATTAGTGTCATAGTTTGAGGTATGAATTTCCCCCCGTTGATTTTCTGTGTACTTTATGGTTTTATAAACCACATAACTCTTTGGTCGTGATGCATCATTGCTTATAGAAGTTTGTGTTACAAAGATATTTTGGTAGAGACAGATTAAGCAGATGGTTATAGGCTCAAAAATACCCATTCTTTTTTCTAAAACAACAGTAATATCTTTTACTGCTATTGCCATATATTGAATAATTCCTTTATGTTGGGTGCTGTAGTTTCAGGTATGTTTTTTTATCCCTATTTTATAGGTGATATTGAGGCTTAGATGAACAAATATAAAATCAGTCCAGGGTCACACAACTAGTGAGTGGCAGAGGCAGCATTTGAACCTAAGTCTGTCTGAATTTACAGCCCATGTTCTTGAGCACTCTGTTATGCTGCATCTGTTTCAAGGAGGTTATCAATCAATTCAAATGAGTTACATTTTAAGTAATTAATTTCTCTTATAGATGGAGCAGCCATGCGGGCTGGAGTACAGACAGGGGATCGAATCATCAAGGTAAGGAAAACACAATTACAGAATTTAAGGTAGAATTTTAAAAAACAGCATATATTAGCCATATTTTGATTTTTTCCTTGGGATTTTTATAAAAAGGAGCACTTGACATATGATGGGTTTGTGGACTATAAAAACTTATTTCATTTATTTTAATATTAGCCTATACCGAAAGGCATAATAAAAGGCTTGAATAAATAAGTTTTTAGCAAGAAATTCTAATCCCACTGTGTGGGACCTCAGCTGTCCCATCATATTTTCCTGAATCTCACTGATGGTCTAAAATTTCTTCCCTTTTAAAGGTGATTTTAGTTTTGGGAAAAGCCGGAAGTCTGGGCTGTAGTGGGGCTGAGTCACCAGAGTGATTTATTGTTTCACCAAAATACTGCACAAGATGTGATACATGAGTGGGTGTGTTGTCATGACCCGTAGCTGCAGTCTTCTGAATATTCCACGTAGTTTCCACAGAGGAATGTTCAAGCTTAATGCAAAATTTGATGCAGATTCGTTGTTCTACTCAGTCATTTTGAATGCGATGGCCACATAGTACACATGTTCACTCAACAGAGTCTATCACCCCCACTGATTAGTACAGTGAAGTCATCATTGTTTTGCATGTATATTTCAGTCCACTTTTCTTGGCTGCCTGGTTATATCGAAGTCATGTGAACCGTTCTCATAGTATTAACACTGGCTGTACTTTTTCTGGACAGACCTTATAAATTAGGTAAAATCTGTTTGGATGGAAATTTGTGAATATATATCAAAAGTTATATACTTTACGTATATACCTTTGATCAGCAGTTTTGCTTTTAGGAACATATGTAAAGAAATAAGTATACAAACATGAAGGATATGTGTACAGGTAAATTTATTTCAGCATTATCATTTTGAAGACTTATAAACTTAGAGCTAGAGAAATAATTTGCTTTTTATCTGCAGCTTTTAAAAAGAATTTGTGTACCGATAAAGAAAGATACCTACAATGCAAGAAAAAGTATTTATTTGCAGAAAAAGAAAGCAGTTATAATGCATATTTATATGTATCTGTGTAGGTGGTGTGTGAACTAGAATAATGGCTCAAAGATTAAACATCATGGTTAACAAGTAATCTCTGATGGGCACGATGAATATACTTTTACTTCTATTTTATATACTGATATATTTGAACTTATAAAAATCAATATCATTTGTGTCAGAGAAAAAAATATTTTTAATGTTACATTAAGGCATATTTGTTATGCCTTAATTTATTTTGTTTATTGGAGACTTTGGATAATGTTTCTAACATTGAGCCTCTTAAAATTAATTTTCTTTGTAAACATTAGGTCATAATTAGGAAACTAAAAGTAAGTGGAATATTATCTTGGAAATATTTATTTTTCCATGTTTTAAAAATACATTATGATTTTGACAAATTACTGAATTTGTAATTACAAACAAAGAAATGTTTTCTATTTGCAAGTGCCCTCCACCGTGAAGGATTTGTAAATATTTTGCATGGTTTGTTTTGTCATCTGTCATGGTGAATACATTGTAGTGCCCTTTAAATCAAGGCCTTTTTTTTGTGTTCAAGTTCATTTTGTTGCTAAGTATAACTTATAGAATAGTGGTAAAAGTGAATATTAAATCAAATATATACATATTTTAATATATACATAGCTTTGTTTATTATTGTATATACTGTATATAGTAATTCTTGAAATAAGTTTACTCATTGTCTCAATAGAATGTATTGGACATATACAATTATCATTTTCTTGCAGGTGAATGGAACACTGGTGACTCATTCAAACCATTTGGAGGTGGTAAAGTTAATCAAATGTAGGTGAATGTTACTTTGTTTTCTCAAAACCTTGTGCAAGGATTAACAAACATTTTCTATAATAGACTATATAGCAAATATTTTAGGCTTTGTTGACAATATGATTTACTGCTTGACTCTGTCCTTGCAGCATGGGAAGAGTCATAGACCCATATAAATGAATGGGTATGGCTGTGTTTCAATAAAACTTTATTCGCCAAAACAGTATGTGGGCTAGGTTGAGTCCCTTGACAAGTGTTTGCTGACTCCTGAAGTAAAGGAAAGTCTGAGGTGAAAATTCTTCATAATTATAGTATGTGAACTTCATTTTTATAGTTGATTATAATATCCTTTTTGTCTTGGTAATATTGAAAGCATATATTTGAAAGAAATGTCTAAGGCACCTGAGAAGGAGGAGATTGAGAAATTGTATGCAGTGACCTGGGTGAACTGGAAAACCTTAAAAAATGTATATACTTAAAATTCCCCCAAATCTTAGCTTTCGTGACCATTAACTGTAAAATAAAAAAAGTTTTTAGAATCTCAGACATTGTGAAATAACTGACTCTGAGTTCCATGATTAGGTTACATTGTGAAAAAAACGTGAAATACATTTAAAAGTTCTATTGAAAAGTCTTAAGAGAGAGATTTTTGTCTATTAAAGGTCAGTTACCTAAAGAAGTCCTCTATCTGGAAATTCTCATTTCTTCTTGATGCTAGATAAATGATGAATGTCTTCTATTGAGTATTTTTGGTTATGGTTAGTTTTGCTTTCTGTAGTTTTTTTCCCAGTTAATATACCTAGTGAATTTCTGTCTTCTCCAAATTTTTAAAATGAAAACTCACAGCTTATTTATCGAGTTTTTTCTTAGTTTTTGTTGGATTTTTTTGTCAGTGTTATGTTGTAAAGTTAATTTAAAATCGTATCATTATATTCTAGAAAATTAAACTCTGCCTAATATCTAAAGATGAAATTACTATCGTCTTAAAATATGATTTTTAAAATTTTCATTTAAGAAATTAATTAAACATAGCCATTAGTAGATAATTCATATTTACTCACTCTTCTCTAATTAAAAAGAGTCAGCCCTGGATGGTGTGGCTCAGTGGATTGAGAGCCAGGCTGAGAACCAAAGGATCTCCAGTTCAATTCCCAGTCAGGGCACATGCCTCGGTTGCGGGCCAGGTCCCCTTTAGGGGGCACACGAGAGACAACCCCACATTGATGTTTCTCTCTCTCACTTTTCCCTCCCTTCCCCTCTCTAAAAATAAATAAAATCTTTTTTAAAAATCAAGGGGCTACAAATTTTATTTGCTTTTAGGTAATGGGATGAGTAGTAATTTGCTATCTGAAAATGACATTGTTTTAGATTTTTAGAAGTGTCATAAAAAAGACAAATTGGATTCTTTTTATATGGACAAGTGGTTAGCAGATGATGAAACTTTTGCACATGACTGGACTTTTTTACAAATGTCAAAGACTAAGTAGTGAACTGCTGTAAAATTTTTTATAATGTTATTTTCCCTTCATTCCTCTTTTATCTCCTCAACCCAAGCTGGTTCCTATGTAGCTCTCACTGTTCAGGGACGCCCACCTGGGTCGCCCCAAATTCTGCTTTCTGATTCTGAAGTAGAACCATCAGTCACTGGACATATGTCTCCCATTATGACATCCCCTCATTCACCTGGAACATCTGGGAATATGGAGAGAATTACTAGTCCTGTGCTTATGGAGGTGAGTGGGAAAGCTTCTTTGTAAATGCTCAGTAGCATAATGCCTTCGCTTTGTATTCAGAGTTTTGAAGTACTGAACTGATAAATACACTTAAGTGCAAGATTCTAGAAAGTAACTTTCTAATACAATAATTATATAGTATAGTTGACCCTTGTACAACATGGGTTTGAAATCCACTAAACATGGATTTTTTTTTCAATAAATACATACAGCACTGTATTTTTCTCTTCCTTGTGATTTTCTTGATTAACATTTTCTTTTCTCTACCTTTCTTTATTGTAAGAACTCAGTATTCTATACATATAACATATGAAAAATATGTGTTAATCGACTTTTTGTTATTGGTAAGGCTTCCATTCAATAATAGGCTATTAATAATTTTTTGTGGGAGTCAAAAGTTACATGCAGATTTTTGACTGCACAGGGGCTTGACACCCCTTCCGCCACGTCATTCAAGTGTCAATTGTAATTTGGAATGGTTGTTGAGTATTGGGAGAGGAGATTTTAATTCAACAAATAATAAACACTTACCATACACAAAACAGGTTGCCACTCACAAAACTTAAGATATCCTATACTCAAAATCCTTATTATCTAATAATATATACTTTAAAAGGACAAGGGTTTTTGTTTGTTTGTTTGTTTATTTACTATTGAGTCCCTATTGCCTGAAAAAAATATCTACTCAGGGGTCTCCAACCTTTTGGCGTCTCTGGGCCACACTGGAAGAACAAGAGCTTTCTTGGGCCACACGTTAAATACATTGCAACAAACACATAATCACTAACAGATCTCAGAATATTTTAAGTAAATTTATGATTTTGTGTTGGGCCACATTGATAGTCATCCTGGTATGCATGTAGCCCGTAGGCTGCAGGTTGGACACCCCTGATAGTGCCTGGCATATAGTAGGTACTTAATAAGACTTTGTTGTTTGAGATTGAATCAAGAGTATACAAGTAATTACAGTAGAAAGGCAGAATGTGACATGAGGGAAGAAGAATACTAAGTTCTAAAGAATTCAAAGGAGGGAAAGAGTACATCCAGTTGTGATAAGGAAGGACTTCATGGAAAGCTGTTTTTTGAATTGAGCCTTGAAAAACAGGTAACATTTAAGTGGTGGCAGTGGAAAGGAGGGAAAGCCAGGTAGAGGAAGTACTGTTAGCTAGGACTGTTGTTTGCTTGGTGCCTTTTAAAGATTTATGTAGTGGGATATGAGCTTGAAAAAAGTAAGACTATTTGTTTTCAAAAATCACAACTACCGGGCTACTTTACATGTAACTGGATAAACACTGACAACCATTAAAACTTTTTTTTTGAGCAAGAGAGTGATATGATTATAACAGGATATTAGGAAGACTAATTTGATAAAATATGGAGTTTTGAAATAAGGAAGATGATGTGAAGTGAGGTAGGGAGCTATCTTAGTATTTCAGGTAGGAAGTACTGGGAATTTGAGCCATGAATGGGGATTGATTGTACAGATTTAAAGGTAAAAGATTAGTATTATTTTTATACTTAAGGCAACTTTATTTTTCCAAATAATATCAATATTTAATGTTTTCTTGATCTAGTCTAGTAAAAGTGAAAAAGGCTGTAATTTCCCTGTTACCTTTTATTTTTAGTGTCATGTCTAAAAGTCCGTGTAAGTGCTACAAATAAGGAGAATCCTAATAGGTATTGTAAATTAGAGCTGAGGCATAACATTGTATGTCTCGTTTTCACTATTTATTTTAGTTTCACTTTCCCTTTATTGGTTCTTTGTTTGTTTGTTTGTTTTTTATCTTTTTCTAGGAGGAAAACAATGTGGTTCATAACCAGAAAGTAGAAATTCTGAGAAAAATGTTACAGAAAGAACAGGAACGGCTACAGGTACTAAATTAGGGAAGGGCTGTTCACAGGCCAGATTGTGAGTTGGTATTTTTTGTAATCACAATCAAGCAGTGCCATCAGCTATTTGATTAAGAATAGATTTTTTCTCTATTTTCTTGACATAAGTAATTAATATCAAAATATTTTTATGACTTTTCAGTTATTGCAGGAAGATTACAACCGAACACCTGCCCAGAGATTGCTAAAAGAGATCCAAGAGGCCAGGAAACATATTCCTCAATTGCAAGAACAGTTATCCAAAGCCACGGGCTCTGCTCAGGTAGCAATACTATTAAAAGTGCTACCCGGCATTTTGCTGGAGCATATTCTCTGCAGACTGTGTTAGAGAATGTTGCAATTGCTTTTTTACAAAGTTAACTTTTTCTTGCAGGAGCTCCTGTGGAGGATGTTACAGAACTAATGATTAACTAAAAGAAATCTGGGCTTCTGATTATTTGCTTGCTTATGGTTTAATGATTCTTTGTTCCACAGTAATTTTTAAAAGAGTGCTTTTGATTTGATGTTACAAATTACTAAATTGTATTTAGATATATATATTTATTGTTTTGAGGTTCATCCTGCAATTATGTTTTTAAGTAGGGATCTAAAATTTTACAAATTGACAGGCATTGTGCTAAGTACTTGGGCAAGCATTTTCTTAGTCTCCATGACCCTATGAGATTAGAGATTATTAGAGATTAATTATATAGAGATAATTAGAGATTAAATACTCTATTATTGTCCCCCTCTCCCCCATTTTACTTATACACTTAAAGAAACTCAAATTAAATAAATTGAGATCATGTAGGTCAAAAGTGATGGAACTAGAATTTTAGCTCAGTCTGATGAATTCAAAACATATTCACATTCTTAATGACTGTAATTTATTGTAATTTTAAAATAGAGAGCAGCAGGCCCTGGCTGGGAAGCTCAGTTGTGTAGATTGTCAGCCCTGTATGCCAAGGTTGCAGGTTTGATCCCTGGTCAGGGCACATACAAGAATCAACCAATGAATGCATAAATAAGCGGAACAACAAGTTGGTGGCGCGCGCGCTCTCGCTCTCGCTCTCTCTCTCTCTCTCTCTCAAATAATAATTAAAAATTTAAAAAAATAGTAAAATAAAATAGATATCAACAGGATTTGCTACATAGGTATAAGTATGGAGATGATGGTCCCATAAAAATAGCTCAGCACTTGTGTTTCAACCAGATTTATATTCTATAATATTCAGATTTGGGATGGATATGAAAGGCTCCTTCTACTTCATTTTAAAGCAGAATGGGTCTGGTCAGTGTGTCTCAGTTGGTTGGAACATCATCCTGTAAACCAAGAGGTTGCTGGTTGGGTTCTTGGTCAGGGCACATACCTAGGTTGCAGGTTCGGTCCTCAATCAGGGCTTCTATGATGGGCAACCAGTCAGTCCTCTCTTACATCAAATGTCTCTCTCTCTCTCCCTTTTCCTTTCTTTAAAATCACTAAGTACGTTCTCGGGTAAGGATTTAAAGGGGAAAAAAGCAAAATGGATAAGTTGCCTGTACCATTTAAAATGAGTAAAAGCTGTTGATTTACTATTTTTCCTCAGTTATGCCTGTAAGTGAAAGCCAGATTCATATAACTAAAAGGATGTTTTTAAGATCATCTAGCCTATTTAAAAATCATGATATGGTTGTGAAAACTAGAGCCTAAACTAGTTAAATGACTTATGCAAGGTCACAGAGTTACAAGGTCTCCTGACTTGCTGGTTTAGTGTACTTTTAGTTATACGTTATTTGTTTTTTCTTTACTTTCAGTCCCACTAACTCTTTCTAAAGTCTTTGCCATTTTATAACCCCAAATTAGTAATTATTTATGTTTTTAACTTTAAGATCTTTAATCATTCTTGATCGCATGAAAATGGCCAACTTTTAGTGGTCTCCTTGAGTTTGTGGTACATCTCTCTTTATGCAATTGATAATGAAATTTTTTTTTATGTGTTTGTATGTGTGTTTAACCTGTTTTAGGATGGAGCTGTAAGTACATCCTTCAAGCCTTTAGGTGACACGTTAACAGTCAGTGAGTTAGATGCAGATCCTGGTGATGGACTAGGCAAAATTGATTCTAACAGTGGAGATGCTTCTTGGCCCAGCAGTGATAATGCAGATGTAAGTGTTTACATCTTAATTTTTTTGTGTTCTTCTTTACAGCCTCTCTAGATTTGATGTTAAGTTACATGAGTTAGAGGTGTGTTCTCTTATTACTTAGAATCTTTTTATCATTGCCATCTTTAATGTAGCAATTTGATAAACAGAAATTCTGGACACTATTGTATATTGAGTTTTTAATTCCAGATTTCTCTTTTTCCCGGGGATACCCATTGCCAGCTGTTTCTTCAGAGCAGATGGAATTTCCCAGCAGGCATCTCATTTGAGGTTACAAAAGTTAATAAGGCTAGTGCTTTTTTACTGAACTGAAAGTCCAGCTGTTGCTATCTTTAAGGGCATGTTAATACTCCATTTGTGGTCAGAGTGAGTCAGTCTTGAATCATGGGACACTTTACCATTACAAAGAGAAAAAGACTTAGTTCTGTTAGACTTCAGTTAATAGACCAGTTAGTAACACTTTGATAAACCCAGAAAGTGCCATATACATCCAGATGTACATGGATATATGTTAAATAAAAATATTTTAAGTTGAATATGATGTGGCTTCACAGTCATATGAATTCAATGTTACTCAGCAGTATTTTGTAAGTAGTAAACAGCAATAGGAATAACAACTTAAGAATAGATAACCCTTTTTAAAAGTGATGAGGAAGGTAGTCTAAACCTCTGTCTTTAAAATTGTGATTCACGAATTCAGCGTAGTTGTTTGGGACCTGCATTAAAACAAAAAATTTTTTAAAAAGATGAGGAAATGAGAGTGCTTTACAGAATGGCAGTGAAGTAGAGAGGCACCTCAGCCCACTTGTTTGTGCACTGAACTGGGACACTTAGCTAATCTTCTGAAAAACAAAGTGAACAGCCAACAGAATCATAGCTGATAAGAAGTTTGGAAGCCAAAGTGTGTAGAAGATGCTTCCAAATGGGCAGTAAGGAGATTTTATAAGGGGACGGGAAAGGTCCCCCAGGCCTGGCGCCAGAAACCGTGGCTGCCATGGAGATAATATCGGAGGAGAGCCAGGTCAGTGATAGCAGTCTAGTGGCTCCCTCCCCTCCCAGGGCGGGGGGAATCCCAGACCTGTGCCAGGAGAGATGAACTTGTAAAGACATTGAGGGGGAGAGAAAGGCAGCAGGCACACACACAGCTGGGGGCGCACCCAAGATGAGGCAACAATCACCAGCCATGACATTCCCAGAGAGGGGGGGTGGGCTGGAACTGACCATGACTGAGATAGACTCTGGACTTGTCAGAGAGTTGGACTGTGTGGAAAGCTGGGCAGTGGCTTGGAGCGGCATTGGCACCAACAGAGACTTTTTTTTCAAAAGGGGAACTGAGGTGCACAGGGCAGGGACCTCACGTGTGCACCTGCCAGGCCAACAAGGAAGAAGGATTTGTGGGTGTGATTTGCTCCCACTTAGGGTACCCCTGAGACTGATGACAGGGGGCAGCAGTGGCTAAGAGTGGCAGCAGCACACAAAGAAACTTTTTTCAAAAGAGGAACTGTGGTGCAACATGCAGGGACTGCATGAGCAGAGGCCATGCAACAATGAGGGTGAAGTGTGGGTGTGATTTGCTTCCACTCAGTGCACCTCACAGATAGATCAAAGGGGTGCAAAAGGAGGTGGTTTATCAGCGCCAACCTGCTGCAACAGTGCAGAGTAGAGAGTGCGAGCCACAAAGTGCTCTAAAGGGGTTGGCTGGAAACTGCATCAATGATCATTGAAGCCCAGACTGAGCTCCCATCCTTGCTGAACCATCGGAAGGGAAAACGGAACTCAACCTGTGCCATGTGCAGGAGCTGGAAAGGTCTGTAGAATCAGCTGGGCACACTTAACAATCAGTAGCATACAAGACAAGATGGAAGTTTTGACTGCCATTACGCCCTCAAGAGTGGAAAACCCAATAACAAAGAAGCCACCAACAGGTAAAACCCAAGTACAACAAGAGAACCCACACAAATGGAAGAAAGGACATCCTAAAGCATCCAGACAAGGATATCAAAGAGAGTGAAACACTGAGTCCCTCAGAACTCTTACCACAGAAGTCCACTCCATGAAGACAGCTGGCAAAGCAGAGCGTCCTGAAACGCAGAAGCAAACAAAAAGAGTCACCAAAAATGATGAACAAAGAGAGAAACCACAATCGAAAGGAATGAAATAAATCCCAGTAAAAGAGCTAAATGAAGGGGAGGTGAGCAAACTGTCAGATATAGAATTCAAAAGAATGGTTATGAGGATGCTCAGGGAACTCAGTGAAACTACAAGGAATTAAGTGGAAACTACAACACTATGCAAAAGGAAATAGAAACTATAGAAAGAACCAGGAAGAAATGAAGAATGCAATATGTGAAATAAAAAAATACACCAGAAGGAATAACAAGAGGACTGTATGAAGCAGAGGACTCAATTAGTGACCTAGAAGACAAGAGAGAAAGAAATACCAAGGTAGAGCAGCATGAAAAAGGACTCAAAAAGTGTGAGGATAGCTTAAGGAAACTGCAGGATAACATGAAATGGAACAATATTCAAATTATAGAAATACCAGAAGAGGAAGAAGAGGAGCAAGGGATAGAAAACCTGTTTTAAAAAATAATGACAGAAAACATTGCAAACCTGGAGAGGGGAAAGGCCACACAAGTTCAGGAAGCACAGAGGGTCCCAATCAAGATGAACCCAAAGAGGCCTACTCCAATACACATCATAATTAAAATACCCAATGTTAAAGACAAAGACAGAATCTTAAAGGCAGCAAGGGAGAAACAGTATGTAACATACAAGGGAGCCCCAATAAGGGTAGCAGCTGATTTCGCAACAGAAACACTACAAGGAAGAAGGGAATGGCAAGAAATATTATTCCAAGTCATGAAAAGCAAAGTCCTACAACCAAGACTGCTCTACCTAGCAAGACTGTCATTTAAAAATAAGGTGAAATAAGGATTTTCCCAGACAAAAGAAGGTTAAAAGAATATGCCTCCATCAAACCAGCATTGCAAGATGTGCTACAGGGATGCATTAGGAAGATGAAGATGTAGAGTGAGAGAGAGAGAGGAATATAGGTGTAAAAGGAAAAATGGGAATGAATAGGTACCTTTCAGTAGTAACTTTAAATATAAAAGAACTAAACGCTGTAGTAAAAAGACATAAGATAGCTGAAATGGGTAAGAAAACATGAATTGCACATACGCTGTTTACAAGAGACCCACCTTAGAACAAAAGACCTACGCAGACTGAAAGTAAAGGGTTGGAAAAAAAGATTCCAAGCAAATGGACGAGAAGAAAAAGCTGAGAGAGCAATACTTATATCAGACAAAATAGATTTAAAAACAAAGGCTATAAAAAGAGACCAAGAAGATCATTTCATAATTCAATAAGGCAGAATCCATCAGGAAGGTATAAACATTGTAAACATATATGCTCCCAACATTCGAGAACACAAATATATAAGGAAAATGTTGGAGGACTTCAAGAAACAGATAGACAGCAACATACTTATTGTAGGAAATGTTAACACCCAGCTGTCAACACTGGACAAATCTTTCAAACAAAGAAGCAACAAAGACATTGCGGCACTGAACAACACAAGATCAAATGGGCTTAACTGATATATACAGAACCTTTCACTCCAAAGAAGCAAAATACATGCTCTTTACAAAGGCCCATTGGACATTTTCAAAGGTAGACCACACAATAGGACATAAATCAAGCCTGAACAAATTTAAGAAAATTGAAATCATATCAAACATTTTCTCAGATTACAGTGCCTTGAAACGAGAAACCAAACTCAAGGAAAAAACTCAAAAAAAACTCAAACTCGTGGAGACCGAATGGCATGTTATTAAACAATGAATGGGTTAATAATGAGATCTAGGAAGAAATCCAAAAAGTTCCAGAATCAAATGAAAATGAACACAAAACAACCAAAAACCTATGAGACACACCAAAGGCAGTCCTGAGAGGGAAGTTCATAGCAATACAGGCCGACCTAAAAAAGACAGAAAAATTTCAAATAAATGACGTAACCCTCCGTCTACACAAACTACAGGGAAAACAACAAACAAAGCCCAGGGTGAGCAGAAGGAAGGAAATAATCAAGATCAGAGCAGAATTAAATGACATAGAGACTATGAGAACAGTACAAAGGATCATTAAATCCAGGAGCTGGTTGCTTGAAAAGATAAAACAAAATTGACACGCCTTTAGCCAGCCTCATCAAGAAAAAAGAGGACCCAAATAAATAAAATCAGAAACGAGAGATGTGAAATTACAAGCAATACCATAAAAATACAAAGGTTCGTAAGAAATTCCTGTGAATAACTATGTGCCAAGAAATTTGAAAACCTGGGCAAAATGGACAAATTTCTAGAAACATATAATCCTCCAACACTGAGTCAAGAAGAAGCAGATAGCCTGAATGGGCAAATAACAGATGGTGAAATTGAAGCAGTAATCAAAACACTCCTGGCACACGAAAGTCCTGGGCTGTGGGGTTTCACAGAAGAATTTTACCAGACATTTAGAGTAGAGCTAACTCTGATTCTATGCAAACAGTTCAAAAAATCCAAGAGGAGGGAAGACTCCCAAACTCTTTTATAAGGCCAGTAATTCCAAAATCAGATAAAGACACTAGAGAGAAAGAAAACTACAGGCCACTATTGCTGGTGAACATAGATGCTAAAATCCTCAACAAAATAATGGCAAACCGCATCCAGCAATACATTAAAAAGATAGATCATACACCATGATCGCATGGGATTTATCCCAGGGATGCAAGGATGGTGCAGTACTTCCAAGTCGACAAATGTAATACGTCACATAAACAAAAGGAAAGACAAAAATCACATGATCATATCAATAGATGCAGAAAAACATTTGATAAGGTACAGCACCCATTTATGATACAAACACTCAGCAAAGTAGTAGTAGAGGGAGCATACCTCACCATAATAAAGGCCATATACAAGAAACCTACAGTCAACATCATATTCAAAGGGCCAAAACTAAAA